GATGCATTTTCAGATATTGAATGAAGTTTGTTGAACATTGGCAGTAAACCATTTCTATCAGGATGTTCACTGATTTTGCCTTTCAACAGTAGACTTTGGTAGCGTTTCCTATCAGGATATACTCCAATATCACCCGTTATATGGATGCTGATCTTGCCCTCCTGCGGACGTGATCGTCTTTGTACAACTTTGCTTTAATAAATGGCTAACTATGTCTTATCATACATTCTGTGTTTGTTTTATTTTTATATTAGAACCGGAAATGATTTATGTTCGGCTAAGCGAAGCGAAAGAGAACATAATATAAAATATATGATACAATTGCCAAATTCAACTGGTAACTTTTCCTGAATTAAAATTAGGCCACGCCCACATGCGCAGAACTAAAATATTAATTAATACAAATGGACCAGTCCAATGGAAATTTGATAGAATTATTGAATTTAACGAAAAGACAACATCCGGTTTCTTGTTCAACGATGGAAAACAGTCGGAAAAGAAAAGCAATCAACTTTATTTTCGTTTGTTTGAATGAAAGCAGTGATTCTGATGATGAGGATGATGATTTAACAGACGTGTTGGTGGCAATGTAAGAACGAATTGTAAAAGAGAGAGGAGAGAGAAATAAAAATTTTATATATATATATATATATATATATATATATATATATATATATATATATATATATATATATATATATATATATATATATATATAAACAGCTGCCTCAAATACATCGCCATGCTCCCGGAGTGTAAAATGTATTTATTTAAAAAAAAATATACCTACTACATGTAAAACTATACAAGGTTTAGTTTCAATAGTTTATAGACAATTTTTTTAATAAATACTTTTTTATACTTCGAGAACAAGCCCCTATGCATAAGGGCTTCTTAGACGGTTAGATAAATGTATTCTTGGCATGAACGTACGGGTTTTCTAAGGAATTCATATCGTCAGCCTATGCGGCAAATCTCGTACATTATTTAACAGGTATACATAAGCACTTAGTTCTTTAGAGTTTTTCTTAGTTCAGTTAAAACCTTTCTGTCATCATACCCCCCCCCCCCCCAAAAAAAGGCTACTAATTAGTACCTCTTTATATTATAGAAATTGGTCGATTGTGGCAACCCTGTATTTTTTAATGGACAACATTTGTGGAATCCTTATTCATGCAGATTATTTAAATCTGCTTGTCAGTAAAAGAGCTGCAGTTGTCATATTGATGTAATTTTATAATACAGTTATCGCAAGATAGAAAAAAAACGCTTTTTCTTGTTTTTATTGAAAGTAGTGACAAAATAGGTAAAAAGGTACTAATGAAAAATTATTGTATTTTTCATAGGTCAGAACTGAATCCTCAGAGAAGAAAACCTCAGAACAGGCACAGGCAAAGAAATTATGTGGAAAATGTGGTAGCCAATTTCCGCATTGACGAATTCAAAACTTTTTTTCGCCATGGAAGAGTCAGCATGCAGTGCTTACAAGAAAAAAATATGCGAGACTTGCTTGGAGGAAAATATATCTGGAATTTTATGTAGAGAAGCATCAGGAGGAACTGTCCAGAAACCTCTTCCAGACCGAATCCTGATGTTTCTTTGGTTTATGTCAAGCCAAGATAAATATGCCTCAATTGCAGACAGATTTGGAATGGGCGAGTCAACATCTTCCTATGCAATACGCAACATAATAGCATTTATTCACGATCATTTGTTATCAAAAGTAGTTGTCTGGCCAACAGTTGCAGAACAACAAGAAATCCAAGACATGTATTGGGACCTAAAACGCTTTCCAGGAATTGTCGGGATGATTGATGGTACTCATATCTCAATAACTAAACCAGCAGAAAGAGGTATCGACTACTACAACAGGAAAGACTATTACTCAGTTGTATTGCAAGCAGTGGTCCGGGAAGACCTTCGTTTCATTGATGTGTTTGCAGGATTTCCCGGTAAAGTTCATGACGCAAGAATTTTCCGCAATTCTCCTTTGTTTATAAATGGACAAGCTCTATGTCGTTGAGGGTCATTTATTGGGAGATTCAGCGTACCCAAACCTAACTTGGCTGTTAACCCCGTTTCGGGACAATGGTCATCTCACTGAGGCACAGATTCACTTCAATTATGTACACAGCAGCATTAGAAGTAATGTTGAAAGAGCCTTCGGAATACTGAAAGGTCGATTTAAACGTCTGAAACACATTGACCAAAAATGTACGAACAATACTTACTGCATGTGTTTTGCATAACATCTGCATTTTAAATCACGATGAGTTGGAAGAACTTGTTAATGAGGACAATAATGTTCCCCAGCTGCGACCTTTCTTTGAAAATTATGATCAAAATGCATTGAATGATGGAGCAATCAAAAGACTTAATATTGCAAGGCAATTTTGAAAAGTTTTTTTTAAAATTCTATTAAAAGTCCTAACATGCACAATTGAGTTTTTTTCTTGACTTACTAATCATTTTAAACAGGCAAAGAATGGAAAATTTACAAAAAGTCACAATTTTATAGGAATTTTATATTGAATCTGGTTTAAGTCAGACAAAACTAAAAGAACTGTTTTATAGTTTTTCCTCAAAAACAACAACAAAATAAATCAATAACAATAAAAAAGAATATGTATTATTAACAAAAAACATTGGGATTAAACAATATAGGATTTTTTTTCCTTCCAAAATTACAAAAAAAAAACAAAACACACACACACACACACACACACACACACAACAAAAAATAGATCACAAACAATTTTATAGACAATCCAATCCCGATTTATATACAATTCAATCTCGAGGAATGCCATGTGTTTATTGCAAAGAATATGGCACCACAAAATATGGAGCAGACTTGTTATGTATACATATACATATATATAGCTCCCTGAGAAAAAAAAAATAATGCATAAATGTTCTCTTCCTGAGATACAAACATTACAAAATATTTTTTTTAAAAACATTTCAATAGGCAGATCCTTGTGCACTTATACTTGTAGATCATATGCAAATGACCTTTTCCATTTTTTTTATACACAGTAGTTGCAACCATCTCAATTTCAAAAAAATCTGTACACAAGCTATGCGAATACATGCATGTACTAAATATTTTACAATTATTTCAAGGGATCAAGTAATTGCCCAGTCGGCCAAGCTGCACGATAATCTGATCTATTGTACCTCAACAAAACAGAGGTACTCTTTCTAATGTGTTCAGATTCAAATTTACTTGCCCGACAAATTGATTTGCAATTTCTGCGAAAATATGCATGTCTTCAGTTGAACTAACATCACATTCTACGTCACAATACTTCAGAGAGATGGAATTCCCTTTAGTACACATTTCAGTTCTCCTATGGAAATTTTACTATATAAGTGAAACGATAAACAGGTTAACTGTAAGTGGCTAAGAGCAATTAAAAAAAAACAAGAAAGTGTTTGGGAATCTGAAATTTCTCAATGTAAGACTCTGCAATCTTGTCAAAGATGCCATGGCAAATAAGTCAATAAATGCATCAAATTCAGCACTTTTAACTTGGTCTGCAGCATTAGCGAAATAAGACATGCCATACACTGTCAATTCCTCAAATCTGGCATACAAAATACACCACACAGGTTGTTTATGTTTTCTACATGAACAGAAAATGAGGTGTTTCTAAGATAACAGAAATATTTCAGTTTTTTACAAACCAAAGTGAGCTTATTGATGTTTTCGAACTGTTCAAGGTAAGAGCAAATCTTCTCCAAAACTTCAGGTGGTAAGTCCATTACGTTGATGTGCCCTGAAATTGTTAAAATTAAGAATGAGAAAGAGCTATCAAACACTGTTGCCATTAATGGGAAAAACCATCTTTATGATTATCTTAAATCATATATGTGGATTTTCTTGTTTTTAATGGAAAAGACTGATCATTTTTACTTTCTGAATCAGAAGATCATTAAACACTGTCAAGGGATCTACATTTAGTATATGATGCCACTGAATTTTGTACCTTCAATTTATTTTTCTTTTAAGATCTCAAGAAATTCTCTTAAAATGTCATTTCTCTCTTTGGCTCTTTCATCTCTTCTCTTCTCTCTTTCATCTTGTTCAAGTTTTCTTACTTTCTCAATTTCTTTAAAAGCTTGTAATAAACTGTTACCTTCTTTTTCTGTTTCTTTTCGTTTTTCTCTTCGTCGAACTGCAGAGATGCTGCTACTCTTTGTCTCTACTTTTTCTTCACTACTAGTACTTGCTTTTTCTTTCTCCTTATTTCTGTTGGAGCAAGTTGATTGCTTGAGCTAGTAAAAGGTGGGTTAATGTCATGTCTTTTAGCTAGAATATTATCAAGTCTTTCAAAATGTTGTATTGTCTTCCTTTTCTCTCCTGTTCTTTTTTGCTCTCTTTTAAATCTTTGTGAGACCAAACTTCTCCATTTATTTTCGACTTTCAACTGCGAAAATTCAAATCCAGCCTCATTTAATTTTTCTGTGATTTCTCTCCAAACATCTTTCTTTTTCTTTCTGGGATTTTCAAATTCTTGTTCTTGTTCATATAAAGATATGAGGAGGTTAGTCGCTGGTTTGGTCCAAAACACGTACCTGCTACACGTACCACTTTCCTCGACATCACCTGGGAAAATATAAGTAATTTAAATATTTTTTGAACAACTGAAGTTTCTGACAAAATTTTTAATAAATGGGTTTAACAAGGCTGAAGCAATTCTGTTTTTTTTGTTGTTGTATTTATTGGGGCACTGTGTTCTGAAAATGGGTCTAATGATATGCATTCATTGTGCTGCATCATCCAAGCATCAAGTTGTTGACTTAGAAAAGTATGTTTATAGACGTATCTTTCTAAACAGCTATTGATCAATTGACTTGTAATTGTTTATTTTCAGTATGAAAAGAAAATGTTCAACTTATGAATAGAGTTTTCATATCTAATTAAATTATACACTTTGTGAGATATATATCTTATCAGAGGTTGACTGACAGCCACATTTTCTTTGAGATGTCTTACTTGTTACATTTGTGTTCTCTTCCAGACTTTCACCTACACTAACATCAATATATATTCACTTCACAGATAATATATACCAAAAGTATCTCATACTAAAAAGGGGTAACATTTAATGATGGACAGTTTAAAATATGTTGAATGGATGTAGCAAGTAAAAGAAAATTTTAATTAATACTAACCTACAGATGTATCATCTGGACCATCACTACCCATAGATGGACCTAAAGAGGAATTTATACTCAAATTACTCCTTAATATTAGTTAATATGCCTATAAATAAGTGCTGAAGTATATTATGTACTTCACTAATAGTTTAATGAGAATAAATTGTTATACAAGAACTATTACTGATATAACATTCACCTGCTGTTGCAATCTCTACAAGATCAGCACCAGGGCCTACAATTTCAAATATGTATGCAATTAAGTATTGCACAAGATTTAAAACACACATGCATGTTTTTTTCCTAAAATGCAATTGCGATATATTTGAATTTCAGCTGATTGAATTTTATTTTAAAGATTTTATTTGCTTACCAAGAGATTCCTCATAGTTTTTTCTTATCTGTGCTATCAGCTCTGTGTCTGTGATAAAATAAAAAGACATCAATTTTCTTCTTCTGACATGCTTAAAAAATAAATTCAAAACTCATTTTAAAAGACAAAAACTTTTGAAAGGCAAAAATATGCGAAAGTACCAAAAATACTTCAGATAATTGCCAATTATTCTTTTAAACTTCTGTTGTCTAACAGACACAGACACACACACACACACATGATATAAACATTATTCAAATTATATGAAAAATAAAAGTACCCCCACTATCAATACGTCTTAATGTCGGTGCATCAAACACTTGCGTTATCCTTACGCCGTCAGGAAAAACAATTGTCCTTTGCTCATAGTAACTATACAAAATAAATATTGCGTGTTTACGCAAGTATTCGAATGCATTTAACTTTTTTATCGTTATAAAATCAAAGAAAATCCAGAAATCTGCATGTTTTTTTCCCTTTACCGTTGAGAAAATTCGAACGGAGTACCCCGTGTTGCTCAATATCACATATACTCTGTCCATGATGTTAATAACCATTTTTGAGTAGTAAAATATTGTAAAATGATTATGTGCTTTACAAAGAAGTTATTGATTCCTTTAAAAAGGTATAAACCTATTCTGGTCTCACAGCGTTTCCATCACGCGTATCACGGTGATCGTCTCTACTACAGTTGCCCGCCATCTTTTCTATATCACGTGACTTATTTCAAGCCCGATTTCTTATATGGATTTTCTTAATTAATATTTTTTTTTTATGAAGTACCAGTCGAATGGAAATTATTAAGTTTATACAATATTAATATCTTCATAATATCGACCAGTCGAATCCACCAATTGTAAATATGTGATAGAAGAACAATTTACGAAACAAACAATCCTGGACCGGGGTGTATACACATGTAGGGGAGGGGGCTGTATTCAATCACCCAAAATATGTGTACTATAAAGTTGTTGCGATAAAAATGTGTGTTGTTTCTTTGAAAACGATTAACTCATGGTAGTGCAGTAAAACGTCAACCTCGCACTGTTATCAGAAAACTTTATATTGCATCAAAATTTGAATTTATTGAAACATTCCAGAAATAGGAAATCATTAACGATTAGAATATTATAAACACATATGGGTTTTACCACAAAAAACAAATAATATAATATTTGTGTATAATATATACATGTAAACAGCAAATATGAATATGTCCAATGAAATACATTGAGCAGGTGGAACTAAATAATATACTGGATTGCTCTTTATAAATGTTCAAATAACAAGCAACTCTACTGAATAAAAAACACCGTGAACATTAATAACTACATCTTAATCAAATATTCTACAATGCTTGAACATTTAAACAACCTATGTCTACCTCGCTAGTGTAAACCAATAGTAGCACTTTACAAGCTGTGAATCTGATCTGATCTTTTTGAGGAGCACATTTATATATTACTAGTGATCAAATTTAAGGCAATAATGTACGTGGTCCTTATTTCCAAATTTCAAAAAAATCAAATTTAATTCTCAAAATAGATTAGGTCCTTCGGATGAGACCGTATAAACTGAGGTCCCGTGTCGCAGTAGGTGCTGGCACGAAAAAGATCCCTCACTCCTCAATGACCCTAAGTGCCGAGCATAGGTCAAAATTTGCAGCTCTCCACCGGCAAGTAGTGGCGTCTCCATATGAGTGAAAAATTCTCGAGAGGGACGTTAAACAACAAACAAACAACAAAATAAAGCCTTAATTGTTAGGGAAACATCTATAAAAACTGAAAAATATTTCTTTCTTTTGATACATACCACTGTATGTGGATTCCTAAGACATCTATGATAAAATCATTGATATTTAAGAACAACTAGTATGACTGTTAATTTGGACTACCACAAAATCTCAAACTAGATTCAAGAAGCTTCCACATAAGTTTTAATATTGCTATAATTTTTCCCTTCTTGGTAACCATAGCAGCATTGTTATTTTCGTCATCAATCTTTAGCAATATATAATATTCAACTTTCGTTCCATTAGTTAAGTTCTATTCGAGGTGAGTCAAATTATATGTTCCTTACATAAAAGGTAACTAAATTCCTAAAGCAGCAAACATTTATCACTTTAAGCCAGTGGTATGTTGTTTCCATGATTACACTAGAATGTAGCAATTAATCCTAATTTTTTTTTCCTGCTATCTGTGTTACAAGTATAACAATGAAATATATGGAGATATCGAACAATATTCAAGCTCAAAAGTCCATTACATGTAAACAATACAAAATAGGAGCAGAGCAAACACGGACCTCCAAAACATCAGAGATGGGATCAGGTGCCATGGAGGAGTAAGCATCCCCTGCCGACCGGTCACACCCGTCGTATGCTCCTTGTCATGATCGGGAAATAACGTTACGGTAAAATCCGTCGACAATTCAGTCTTTTTTCTTTAGGGATCTTTATTTTAAATAAATCAAATTGGCTATGGGCTACTAACAAAAATAATACATGCTCACATTACCAAATAGAACAAAAATAAAATAAGAGGAGAATTACTCGTAATCAGTATGTACATTCAAATTTAATCAAACAGCCTGTCTGTGTGGAGTAGTGGTTAGAGCGTTTCTTCTATAGTCGCGTAGTTAGATGATCCTTACTGCTCAAAGGCCTTAAGTGCCGAGTATACGGGTCTAAATTTGCAGCCCTCCACCGGCAAGTGGTGGCGTCTCCATATGAGTGAAAAATTCTCGAGAGGGACGTTAAACAACAAACAAAAGCAAATATGTTGCCAGGAAATACACACTGACAGATGTACGAACACGACATTATTGATGTTACCATAATCGGATTTATGTAGTGAATGCGTTATAAATCCATTTATCACAGCGCCCCACGTGGAAGGATGCGCGCGCAATATATGCGCAAGCATTTGTACATTCCATTCTCACATCATTTCCAAATGTTGCACGTTTAGGGTTTGCTGTGAATTTTTAAGAAAATTTAGAATATTGCACAATGACATTGTCAAAAGACTGTGGTGTACAAAGACGAGGTTTTACTGATTGTTTGCACTAATTGTACCGTTAGTGTACTTCAACATGCTAGAGTTTTCGACTTCGCGCCGAAGGGCTGTAAAGAGCGTGTGGACGTTAGCCGAGGCTCTTACTTGTAGGAGTATTGTTGCTGTAAATATTGACCAAGATGTCCACAACATCTATAGTCGCCAAAGCCAAACAAGGCATTACAAAATGGAGAGAGAGAATAACGTCAATACCAGCGCTAGCAATGAGGAGGACATGCATAATACTACTACACACAGCACAAACGGTATGTCATCTTGTATGCCTACATCAATTATTAGTAAATGTTTTCACTGTTGTATCAATTACATTTTTAAAAAATGCACAAGAAAATACTAAATGTTCAGTTAATCGATCATTCTGTTAAAATCAGTGGGAAAAGGCAAAGAATAAGCTAGTCATTACAATTGGTTTTATTGTATTTAGTAGACTCTAAATTTAAGCACACCCCCTTCAACCACAGAGTTTAGAGCAATATAAATATAATTATGCACACGTTAAGATTGGGTTCCATAAAACTCCCATTGACTTGAATTAATTTAACCTCATACTCTCAAGATCACGCACTCGGCATCGTCGGTCATTGTTCCGATGTTGTAAGCGCCCGAGTATATACTTCATGGAGCCTTAATGTTATCAATATATGAGGCTATAATAATAAGACTTATTTATCTATTCACCAATCAATGAGCTTTGAAAGGGTGGCATATATATATATATAATTTATAAAAACAATACAATTACGTTTATAGCAAGTAATGGCTGCATTACGTGCAATATTAACCTGATCCTCACTTGTAATATTTAACTGTCCTCGCTAGCATCCCTCATACAATTGAAAGACTAGTGTTTTGATGCCAAATATCGTTACTTATTGTGTATGTATGTGCACATTGTTATAAAATATGTATTTTAAGCTTGTTCTCCCTTCGATTAACATCTTCGTGTCCGTCCTCAACAAATCAGCAACCCCGGCCTGGGGAAACACTTTTTGAAACAGAAAACCTTAAATTTCGTTACTCCTAGGCACTCAATTAATAAACATCGGTCATTCTTAAGTAAATATTAAACTACTTCCAATATTTATGCATGTCATGTTCCACCAAAGCAAGAATTAGGCGATGAGTTGAGAAATGGTTTTAATTTAATTTAGGGCGCATGGAGTGAAGAGCAAATTAATTAATTAATTAATTGAAATTAATTTCAGTAGATCTGTATCAAGACAAATTCAGTATATGTTGCTGAGTGAAATAGCTATGGGCGAATGGCTGTTCCTTTTTCCTTAACACCTCTATCAAAACTAGTCCCATAAATCATGGAGGGGGATCAGTATCCGCATAACAATAAACCCAAAAATTTTATAGATTGAGGGCCATAATCGGTATGATAGCACCATTGATAAGATCTTTACCTGGCAAAATGGATACAAAAAATATCGTTTTTAGACTATTGTCTAGAAAACCAGATGATTTTTTGCTTACTTGAATTGGCTTCGAATAACTACTATGTCAAACGCCTTCCATTTGTTGTTACACATCGTCACAAATAAATAAATAAATAAATAAAGTGATTAATAAATTAATTAAACACAAATGAAATATTATCTTTTTTTCAATGGGTCGTCAGGTCACAAACTGGTTCGAAATATGAAACGCATTTATTTATCTTGATGTCTTTCTGTTTTGCAAGTTCAGCTCACGCCAACATTTGCTCAAAATTGATGACACGTTTGGCGATTTTGGTCAGCATTGGGAATTCTTCAATGCGTTGAACATTTGTTCCCGTCAC